TTTTTTTTTTTTTTTTTTTTTCCACGAAAAACAGAAAAATTTGTAAGAGTCAAAATCTTCTTCACCCCGTTATAAATTTATTCTTTCTTTTAGAGGAAATTGCATCCTCCACTACACATTAACATTTTTATTGCATAATTACAATTGGTATATATTTTTTTGCAAATTAGCTAAAACTTTTATATTTATTTACAAACATACCAGATTATTAAACAACATATAATTGTTTTTAAATATGGTAAAAGCAGATTTCTTGGGATCTATAATTATCACACGCTCTCTCTCTCCATTCTTCTTCTTTTCTCTTCCCCTCCCTCTCTCTCTCTCTCTCTCTCTCTCTCTCTCTCTCTCTCTCTCATCTTCTTCTTCTTCAATTCGCCGCTATTCTCCTTCCCCACCGCTCCTTCGCGGCACCACCTCCACCCACCCACCGCTCCTTCGTGTTTTCCGTTGTTTGATTTCACTTACGTTTTCCGTTGTTCGATTTGTTAATTGTTTGTTCGGATTGAGAATTTCGCGACGATTGTATAGGTTATGGAAGCTGACGAACTGCGGCGGTTCCTGACGGAGGTGCAGGGGGAAGTGAACTCGATGGCGGGGGGCGTCATCAACCGGCTAAAGCACGCACACTTGTTTCATAGGGGGGATGAATCTGGAGGTGTTCTTCAAGTACTTGTTCGGGGATGCTAATTCGCTATTGGATCCAAAAATTGGATTAATTTTTCATTATTACTGTTTTCGAGATGCACCAGTTTTCAGTATATCTTAGGTATATTTTTAGGTATATGTGGGTTCTGAAATCGATTTTGAGAAACGGATTCAAACTCGAGTGTATATTTAAAGTATATTTTATGTATATTTTAAGGTATATGTGGATTTATATCAAGTTTATACTAAGTAGGTGTTGGTTTTATATCAAGTATATGATAAGTATATGATAGTGTGATATAGTATTGATAAACTAATCAGATATATATACTCTACAAAGTATATACTTATCATATAATTTGGGACATACTTGAGACATGTTTCAATTATGTAACAGTTGGTATATAATCGGTATATTTCAAGTATATATCACTGTCAGTGTGTCCAACACATTCCATTTTGTCAACATATACTAATCCGGTATTATGTTTAAATAAGGTAACAGAAAGCATGAATTACGGGGAGAGAGAGAGAAGATGGTTTGGTTTGATAAGGTAACTGAAAGCATGAATTACGGGGAGAGGGAGAAGATGTTTAGGCATCAATATAATTACTTTTTATCTCTTAGGTATATACATAAATTTATTGGTTTCAATGGTAAAATTACAATTACTTAAAAATCAATGAGTATACATGAAAATTTCCCTTTCTTTTACACACCGCCCTATCAAATAACTTCTTTTACAACCCAAAACTTACAAAATGCTATGCGATATTACAGTCGCATGTCCAAATGAACCAGCGCATATCCAAGCGGACGCATAATTTATGACTATGCGAAAACATTTCGCATATTTGTAATCGCATATCCACATCAAACGCATAATTTACAAATATGCGAACATCTTTCGCAGTTTTAAGAATCGCATATCAAAATCGAATGCAACATAATTTACGATGATTATGCGCCTTATTTCGCAGGGCTATATCGACCTTGCAAATTTATGACTGTGCGAAAACTTTTCGCATATAATTCGCATTATTTGTTGAATTCACATTTTCTGGAAATTGCATATCCAAGTCAATCGCATAATTTACTGGTATGCAAAAAACTTTCGCATATATCCGCCGGATAATTGACAATGATGCGACATTTTTTCGCTCGCATATTGAAGAATCGCATAACAAAATCGAATAAAGCATAATTTAATTGACGATAACGCGCCATTTTTTCGCAGGGCCATATCGTCATGGAAATTTTACGACTATTCGGAATTTGATCGCATATCTGTCGCATAAGTTACGCACCTCATTAATTGACTGCTTTTTCACAGGTGAGGATTTTGTCTGTGCATTTATCATGCAGGCAAAAAAATAGTGATCTCTAACAATTCAACGTCTGCACCATTCTTCTCTACTGCAATTTTCTGTTTCTTTCATTTTAATTCCTTTTGTTGTTCACTTATTTGAATGGCTAACACCCGTGTTAGAGTATGCGTGAGCTATGGTGGTACGTTTTCCAGGGGTTCATATCTTGGTGGAGTGGCAGAGCTGATGAGAATAAATTACGGCCGACAAATGTATTCTGAAGTAGTTTCTCGTGTTCAAGCATTATTGGAGGCCGATCCTTGTAATTTAGAGTACATATTGTGGGCAGTATTTGATGGAAGGGAACGAAAAGTGAAGATGAAAATTGAATCCAGTGAGGATATCTTAGAGCTGATTGAAGAACAAAAAACTCCCAACATTTACGTGGAGTTGGAGAAGCGAGTAAATGTAGGTGTTCCGGGGACGGCGCAACAAAGCTTCACGCAAATGATGGCGTCCTAAGGTGTATTTTCGAGTTCTTTTGGTGTTGGTAGTTCTGCATTTTCCCACGAGGCCCCATATTCACATCAAGCAGGCCCTAGTTCATTTACACATACTGGATATCCTCGGGGCGCTGATGATCAAACCGCGGGTTGTTCGAACCAACCAGGTCATTCTCGTGACGATGGCAATAATGATGACCAAACCAACACGCACAATGGTGACTCAGGCGACGAAGACAAAGAGGTACATGAGAAGCAAATGTTCAAGCTTTTCAGGGCGTGGTATATATAGCGAGCATATTGAAGAGCTAAGATTAATCACCGACCATATTGAGGTTGAAAGTCTTGCATATATGAATCGAGGTAGCACCCGGCAATCCGACGTTGAGCCACGAATGTGGTCCCTTCCTATGCCGCCCACGACAACTGGATCAGATAGACAACCCATCCACTTACCCTCGAACAATATAGAATTATCTTTGGGGTCTGTCTTTCTTTCGAAAGAAGAGTTGATTTGTGCCATTCAACTGTATCACTTGCAACAAAAAGTTGGGTGTCGAACACCCAAATCCTGCACTTCTAGGTTAAAATATGTTTGTCGGTATGAAGGG